GTCCCGCACTATACACTGCCAAATCTTGCTGCCACACAGCATGTCAGCTTTGACTTTGAAACCCTGATGCATCCAGCTGGTATAGGAGAAGGAACTTGGATAGGGGAGTCAGGCAGTCCTGGTTCAATATCTCAGCCTTGCTGCTTATTAACTTTGGCCAAGTTCCTCAACCTCTCTGATGCTCAGTTTCCATATCCATAAACTGAAACCAGTAATTCCTACCTTGTGAGATGGCTGCAGGAATTAGAAATATTGGGTATAAAATGCCTAGCGCAGGGGCCAGTACCTCGCAGGAACTCAATCGCTGGCAGTTCCTATCCCAAATAAACGAATCTGGACAAACACAGCAGACTTTTTAAAAAAATTATTTTTAAAAAGACCTTATGTATTTATTTTTGAGAGAAAGAGAGCAAGCACGAGTACAATCAGGGGGAAGGATAGAGGAGCCTGCTGTGGGACTCGATCCCAGAACCCCAGGATCATGACCCGATCTGAAAGCAGACGCTTAACAGACTGAGCCACCCAGGTGCCCTGAAACACAGCAGACTTAAGAAACAACGCATCTAGGGGCACCTGGGTGGCTCAGTGGGTTAAGCCTCTGCCTTCGGCTCAGGTCATGATCTCAGGGTCTTGGGATCGAGCCCCGCATCGGGCTCTCTGCTCAGCGGGGAGCCTGCTTCCTCCTCTCTCTCTGCCTGACTCTCTGCCTATTTGTGATCTCTGTCAAATAAATAAATAAAATCTTAAAAAAAAAAAAGAAAGAAAGAAAGAAAGAAAGAAACAACGCATCTAAAGTGTGCCTGGGTAGAACAAAGCAAAAGGAGGGGAGGGAAGCAAAGAGTGTATATATACAGCGTCCGGGCAATTAGGACAGGGCTGGAGGCACTTTGAGTGATTTGACTTTTTTTTAGTTTGATTTTTCCCCTCTCAACCCCTGACAACTTTCAGCGGTGGACTAAGTATCGGCCAGCAAAAATCTGCAAGTGACAGGCAGCTCTGTATATAGGATAATGAATACGATATAAGATAATCTTAGCTAATTACTGTTTCCTGGCAGATGTCATACAACTGGCTTCTTTTTTTTTTTTTTTTAAAGATTTTATTTATTTATTTGACAGAGAGAGATCACAAGTAGACGGAGAGGCAGGCAGAGAGAGAGAGAGAGGAGGAAGCAGGCTTCTTGCTGAGCAGAGAGCCCGATGCGGGACTCGATTCCAGGACTCTGAGATCATGACCCGAGCCGAAGGCAGCGGCTTAACCCACTGAGCCACCCAGGCGCCCTACAACTGGCTTCTTAAGTGTGTCTGTGAGGCTTGGTTTGGTGTTGTTTTTGCATGTGTGAATGTCAGTGGGTGGGTAAGTGTGTATACAGACCTTCACCAGGGGAGCTCTGCAGACAGCGGCTCAGGAGTCGATCAGGGTGGCTGTTCCCCACGTAGCTGTACTAGTTAGGGGTTATCTCCAAACTGCCAGCTCCCGGAGGCCTGGGTCTGTGTCAGTCATGTCTGTTTTCCCTGCACATGGCATATAGTACTGGTACATAGCAGATGTTCAGTAAATATTTAAGTAGATAAACGGATACGTTGGGCATTGACTCTCTCTGCTCTCTGATCTCACTTCCCGTCCTTTCCCTCCGTTTTCTATATTTGCTGTTCTTTCCCTCCACCTCTGCTAGATGCTTGCTGTTACCTTATTTCTTAGGCTTTCCTGACACCCCCCATCCCCATTTACAGCTAAGTTCTCACCCACACATGAACATCCCCTGCTGTTCTCCTGACTTGCATTTTCCCGTAGGACCTGTTACCACCTCGATTTTATTTACCGCCTAACTCTCCCTGAGAGACTGAAGGCAGAGTTACACAGTTCACCGCCGTATTCCTAGTAGACCTGCCTGCTTTAGAGAATGTGCTCAAACGTATTTGCCGAGTGAACTGTGTGTCTAACTACAGGGTGTAGGTATGCCTTCGCATCAACCCGAAACTGTCAGCTGTATATTCTGAGCGCCCTAACTGTGCCATCCATCGAAGACCCACACATCATCGGCTAATCCCTTTTTGCAGTTGAGACTTCCTTTTTCCCCTCTTCCACTCTGTATTCTCTGTATTCTTCGTAGTCTCTAGGATTTCACAAAGGGGGAATTTCAGGACTCTTCTAGGTCCCTCAGTGATTTAGGGGAAGTGGTTCGTACTTTTACTGGCCTCTGCAGAACAGGACAAGCGTGACATTAGAAGTGCAAGTGGCTATTTGGACTTGCAAGTGGTAAAATATTGAATGGCAAATTTCATCTGTTTGTAAAAAGGACAAACAGTAATATGAGGGCTCTGGTCATTTGCAAAAGCTGTTTTTCTTTCAAATGTCCTCTAAGAAGGCCCAGTGTAGTGAAGGAGTGCTGGGGTGGGAAGGCCCTCAGCCTCCCAGACTGTAAAATGGGCAGCCTGAAAACCATCTCTCTAAAACCATCGAGCTCTAAAAGTCGATGAAGCTCTTGGAGATAAAGCCACGGAACTTTTCATGTCCATCTAGTCTTATTTTTCGTGCTTGTTACCACTGACTTTAACATGCCAAGAACGATGGTCATAAATGGATATTTAGACATATAAACTTTCATAGTTTACTTATTTCCAATCAAATGGAAATGTTTTTAATAACACTAATATTTAAAATTGTGAACCTATCTAAGGACACTTACAACCTTAAAGGGCCATCATGTTAACTACATGTAACTTTGATTCATGAAGGAGCTGATAATGCGGTTTGCGAACATGTAAGCCCCCCCTTCCCATTCTTCCCAAAGAATTTATAACTCCAGTTTGTGAGTTGTTTATAAGCTCCAAGGACATTGTAACCAAAGGCTAAGTGAGTTTTTGGCAGTACTTGGAAGTTCCTATTTCGGGTGCCTTCCACCTCCTCTAACTAAAAGTGAGAATTAACCAGTACTGTATATAGTCCATTAATTTCAACTCTAATCATTTCACAAATGTTAATATTTCATCTTTTTATTTATTTATTTAAAGATTTTATTTATGTATTTGACAGACAGAGATCACAAGTAGGCAGAGAAGCAGGCAGAGAGAGAGGAGGAAGCAGGCTCCCCGCCGAGCAGAAAGCCAGATGCAGGGCTCGATCCCAAGACCCTGGGATCATGACCCAAGCCGAAGGCAGAGGCTTTAACCCACTGAGCCACCCAGGTGCCCCTATTTCATCTTTTTAAAAAAAGATTTTATTTATTTATTTGAGAGAGACAGAGAGAGAGAGAGAGAGCAAGTATGAGAAGAGGGAGGGTCAGAGGGAGAAGCAGACTCCCTGCTCAGCAGGGAGCCCAATGCCGAACTCCATCCTGGGACTCCAGGATGATGACCAGAGCCGCAGGCAGTCACTTAACCAACTGAGATACCCAGGCGCCCCTAATATTTCATTTTTATAATGACTGTGTGGTAAAATATATTCTTCTTAAAAAGTTATGGAGACGAAACTTTAAAACCAAAATCTATTAATCTGTTAAATCACACTGGCCTATGAGACAGTGTTCATTCATATTGTTCCAATTTCAAATTAACATTGGGGCGGCATTACTGTACCAGCTATAAAGCAGCAATCGGTGGGTAGAACTGACCTTAGTCGGAGATACTGGACCACGAGCTAGTCACTGTGCAGATTTTCTGGGGTTTAAGATGTTCCCCTCTACCACAAATCTAAATTCTGTCACCCCTGTGCAAAAAACCTCAAGAACACGCCTTTTATTTAGTAAAGAGAAAAATTAAACTTCTGAAATACACCAAAATAACAGATTTCTTTCCGAGAGTGATCGTTGTTTTTTCTTTTTCACAAAATCCCGGCTCTTTATTTGTCATGAGCTTTTACTAGTTTCAGCATTATTTACTCAGGAGTATTTCTACGGGATTAGGAGCAGAAACAGAATGTATGATCTGACTGGGTCTCATTGCTGGTGTGGATGTCCATGTCCTAAGTTGGACGGAATTAATCTTGCAGAGGTCTGTCTGTCTGGGTAGGTAGAGAAAACTCAGAAATGCCATTCTGAGGCTTCTTTTAACTTTTTGGCTCTCAGCAGCATGAGAGCAGCGGCCCGGAGGAGGCTCGTCCAGCACGCCTTTGCAGCATGGAGTAGAGAGGATCACGCTCCCCAACCCAGCCCTGCATCAGGGGTGGGGGAAGAGACAAAAGAGATGCTCTGCCCTCGCCCTTCCTGAACTTAAAAAATCCAGGGCGCGAGGCAGGACTTGGGAAAATTAAACCAAATATGAAGCGGAAGAAAACCCCCCCGCGTACAGTAACTGCCAATTTGCGCTGCACAAATCAACACGGAAGTAAGATTTCAAGGAGTTTTTAAGCAAAGAGCTGGAGAGAGAGATAAGAAGGCAAATCTAAGATGGAAGAAAAGGTGGAGGGCTCGCGTGGAACATGCCGAGTCGAGGCCTGCACGCCTCGGGGGTGAACCCGGCCTCCGGGTGGAGAGGCAAAGAGCAAGCCGAGGGCTGCCCAGACTACTAGGGAAGCCAACAGAGGCTGCAGTGCATCGGTTTAACTGAAAGGCGGTTTCCTTCTCCTCCATTTGCTCGGTCCCAATTGGAAGCGCACTGCGCGGCCTGCGCCGCGCTCTCGGCGGGTTCGGCGTGGGGGCGGGGAGGGAAGTACGGTAATGGGCGGGGCGGGGCGCGGGCGCGCTCCGGCTCTCCTCCTGCGCAGCGCTCCCGTCAGCGCAGGGGGCGGGGCGGCTATATTACGTGCGCGGCGCCGCCCCTGCGAGAGGACGTTGCGTGCTCGCTCGCGCCAGGCGAGTCTCCGCGTCTCCCTCGCGAACTCGGTGAAAGGAATTGGCGCCGTTCGACACCAGGCGGGTCCGCTCTGCAGCACGAACCCACCTCCAGCCGCAGCCGCAGCCGCCGCCCGGGCCGAGGAGCAGCCGCAGCAGCCGCCACCAGTGGCCGAGTGAGCGGAGCCGAGTTTGAGCCAGCGCCCAGCGGTGAATCGGGGCCCTCACCATGAGTTCCTCGCCTGTTAATGTAAAAAAGCTGAAGGTCTCGGAGCTGAAAGAGGAGCTCAAGAAGCGGCGCCTTTCCGACAAGGGCCTCAAGGCCGAGCTCATGGAGCGACTCCAGGCCGCGCTGGACGACGAGGAGGCCGGGGGCCGCCCCGCCATGGAGCCCGGGAACGGCAGCCTAGACCTGGGCGGGGATTCCGCCGGGCGCTCGGGAGCAGGCCTCGAGCAGGAGGCCGCGGCCGGCGGCGACGAGGAGGAGGAGGAGGAGGAAGAGGAGGAGGAAGGAATCGCCGCCCTGGATGGCGACCAGATGGAGCTAGGGGAGGAGAACGGGGCCGCGGGGGCGGCCGACGCGGGCCCGATGGAGGAGGAGGAGGCCGCCTCGGAGGACGAGAACGGCGACGATCAGGGCTTCCAGGAAGGGGAGGATGAGCTCGGCGACGAGGAGGAAGGCGCGGGCGACGAGAACGGGCACGGGGAGCAGCAGCCTCAACCGCCGGCGACGCCGCAGCAACAGCCCCCACAGCAGCGCGGGGCCGCCAAGGAGGCCGCGGGGAAGAGCAGCGGCCCCACCTCGCTATTCGCGGTGACGGTGGCGCCGCCCGGGGCGAGGCAGGGCCAGCAGCAGGCGGGAGGTAAGAAGAAGGCGGAAGGCGGCGGAGGCGGCGGTCGCCCCGGGGCTCCGGCGGCGGGTGAGTGCTGCGTTGTACGTTGCGCGCGGCGGGAGGCCCGCGCGGGGTGGGGACCGTGCCCCAGGCCTGCCGGAGCCCCGCCGGGGGGAGGGAGCCCCGGGCGGGGGCCGCCGCGGGGGAGACGTGGGGGCGGGGGCGCGGGGAATCCCGCCGGGCCTCGAGGCCTGTGCGGCCTCGGGCTCGGCGTGTGCGGCGGCGGCGGCGCCTCCATTATGTGGCTGGAGAGCCGGCGGGAGGGGGGGAGCTGCAGCTGCCGCTGGAGGGGGAGGAGCCGCGGGCGGCGGGCGGGAGCCCCGTCGGCCCGCGGTGGCGCCGCCGCGCTGCGTGCGCGCGGTGCGGGCACATGTCTCGGGGGGTGGGGGGGGAGGGGAGAGGCCCGAGGGCCCGGGGCGGGCGCGCTTTGGCGGTGCTGGGCCGCGGTATTGTGCAAGGAGCGCTGGGGCTCGGCGTGACGTCACTTCCGGCGGGAGGGGCCGGGCGGGGAGAGCGGGGCGGAAGATCAGTACAATGCGGCCGCGGGGAACGCGGGCCCGGGTGGGGGAGGGGCGGGGAGGGCCCGCGGGCCAGGCCGGCCCCTCCCCCCTTCCTGAACTCTCTTCGGGATACACGTGGGCTTGGGGCCTGGGCCGCGCTAGTCTCCAGGAGCTTTCTCGAACCTTCGAGTAGGCTGGCGAAATTAGGAATGTCTTTGGACTGCGTCACTAACTGCAGGCCGGTTCCAAGCTGATTGTTCTTTGAATTCGCGTTGGATTCGTCGATTGTAAACGCTTACAAAAAAGAACGAGAGTCGGGCTTTTTGCGTCCGCAGGCAGGAGGGGCATCCCCCCACCCCCCCGTGGTGTCGCGGCTTGGCCCCTTATGGTAGGGGTGTTGTGTGTTATAGGAGACGGCAAAACAGAGCAGAAAAGCGGAGATAAAAAAAGAGGGGTGAAAAGACCTCGAGAAGATCATGGCCGTGGATATTTTGAGTACATTGAAGAGAACAAGTATAGCAGGTAGAGAATGCCGATCTAGTTTGACCCGCCCCCGTTCGTTCTTGGGTAGGAAAAGCTGAATCAGGAGACAATTCTGTCTTTCAGAGCCAAATCTCCTCAGCCACCTGTTGAAGAAGAAGATGAGCACTTCGATGACACAGTGGTTTGTCTTGATACTTGTAAGTGAAGCTGTTTCTTCCCTTTCCTCCCCTAGTTACTAAATGTGGCGATTTTGGGTCCAAAATTTCGGAGTACTTCACGCAGGGCGCTGAACTTAAATGCAGAAAACTTAGCGTAAACCTAAAAGCAGGGAGATGATGATGGGTTGTATTCAGATTCTGGTAGCTTAAATACTCAGTACAGCATCAGTTGTGTCGTATTGATAATTTTACAGGCTTCAGCAATTTGGTGGTATATTTTATATGAGTAGAAAGTTCTCGTTTGTAGGAATGTAAAATTAATGCCAGTTTTTGGTTTTAGTTAATTAATGGAAACCTGTAAGACTACCTGTAACTTGTCGTTAGAGGCTCCTACAATAAAGTAATTTCATTTTTTTGGTAGAATTAAGTGAGCTATTCGGGCTAGTTAAGTATGTATTAATGACTTTTCCCATTAGCACACAAGTATATTCCCTATTCTAAAAGATTGTAATATTACTTTTTCAATAACTGCTCTTTTGTTCTCAATTCCAGTTCAGTAGCTGCTGCTTTAACATAAGTTGATTTCTTCCAAAGACCTGGGGCAGCAGCAGTGGGCTATCACTGGGCTACTAGCTTTCTTCAGCAGCGAATGGTATCAATGGCAGCGCTGTAAACACTGCTACTTTACCCAGTTGGGTTGCAATTGAGTATGAGGAAGTATTGCAAACCTCTAAATGGGCCTTGGCTGTCAGAAATGTGATTTTTTGAATAAAAACATTTTGTTGGTTTAGTATTTGATCAGAATTCACAGTTTTTCACTTTGATAAATAGAACAAAGTGTAGAAATTAATCGCTGGAGGAGTAGGTGGTAAGGTGTGAACCTGCCCCATAGATGTAGGGAGTTAAAGTTTAGATTCCCATGTTTTCAAATACAAATTACTTTTAATCAGATTTGTGAGGCTGTAAATGTTAACTTTTAATATATTAAATATGCTTTACAGGTAGTTGAGCTAAGGGAGTCTTTAAAGGAAGAAAACTGCACATGGAAAAAGAGTTGATTTGAGTTTTAAGTAGTTCGGTTGCTTAAATACAAACTAAGTTGGAATTGGCAAGGTAGTGAAGCTGTGATCCAGAAGTTAACACTACTCTCCAAGTAGATGGGCTTTTAGCTGATTACCTAGGAACATAATCGCATTTATTGCTATCTATATTGGGTTCAAACACAATTGTTTAATTGAAAATTCTACCAGTGATCAGGAATTTGAGTGCAAAGCTGATTTAAGGAGAATTCCAAACTATAGATCTAATTTCCTTTCATCAGTAAAAACTTAAAACAGCTTTTTAATTTGAGGTGAGAACTCCCAAGAAGGTGCATGCTAATGAGCCACTGACCCAAAGGTAGCTAGGTTAAAGACCTTTCTTGGGGATTTGGGTAATCCGGGAAGTGGATAATCCCCCATTGTTGTTGACCAACCAGCAAGCCTGGGGAAAAGGGACATAGTCACAGTGTTAGACAACCAGGTTTGCACTTGGCTAGGTTGAGGCTGCTGCCTTCACAAGTTGGAGAATTTAGGATCTAGAGCCCCTGTAAAATTACAAAGTGCAGAATCAACAGCTCATACTCCTGTATTTTAAAGTATGTGGTCATGGACTCCCTTCAGTTTTTTTGTGGCACTGGTAAATTCTACCTGGTTCTGGCATGCTTCACTTTGATTTCCTGCTATCCTCTACTGCTTGCCTCTAAATCAAGGTAAAGAGCAGAGCAGGTATGTATCCCATGTCACATTGTCTTGATTATTTTATATACTTAAAAAACACGTTAAACCTTGGTGTTCTGGTTTTGTAGGCAGTTTACAATTTAGTTGATAATTTAGTGAGAGTGAGTTGGTGGGAGTGGGGCTTAAAGTGAAGAGAACAGCAGCATGATTTGTAGAAACTGTGTGTTCCATGCAGCTTTAGGAAATTACGCAAGAACGCGATAACCAGGTTTTGTCTATATAGCAGATGTGTTTACATTGGATGTCAAAAGAAATAATATGGTATTTGATATAATTGCAGATAATTGTGATCTACATTTTAAAATATCAAGAGACCGCCTCAGTGCTTCTTCCCTCACTATGGAGAGTTTTGCTTTTCTTTGGGCTGGAGGAAGGGCATCTTATGGTGTGTCAAAAGGCAAAGTCTGTTTTGAGATGAAGGTAAATGCAGTTTTGTGGGGGTTTTTTGTTTGTTTTTTTTTAAAGAATCTTTGTGAGTTTCCATTTGCCTGAGAAAAGTTAGGTGTCAGTGGAACTTCTTTGAAGTTTCTGTGGATTAGAAGAGGGACTTGAAAAAGCCTGTTTTATAACAGTTAATCGTATCTGTTAACATCAGAAATTCGTGTTGTAGAGTCAGACTGTTTTTATTTAGGATGCTCCTTTTTTTATCAGGCACTTGAAAGGCCCACGATGGGTTTAAAAATAATTTGGTTAGGCTTCAAGTTTTGTTCCAGAGCCAAACGTGTTGAATGTATATTTTAATAGGTGTTGAGTCGAGAATCTGTAATTTCTAAACATGAACTGTTCTTTTAAATGTGAAGTCAACCAGGGACTTGACTTGAACCTTTACAGTTTTCAAGTTCTACCAATTTTTAAAGTTCTTGTAAATGTAGGGGAGATACGGCGGGGTAGAATGGGTGTCTTTGTATTAGCCAGAGAAGAATTACCTATTGCCCAGATGAAACAAGCTAGGGTTCAGGGGTTTATCTTCCTTGTAATCATTTATGATTTGATTTTCAGGTTACAGAGAAGATCCCAGTAAGGCATTTATATACAAAAGATATTGACATACATGAAGTTCGGATTGGCTGGTCACTAACCACAAGTGGAATGTTGCTTGGTAAAGTTTCCATTTGAGTAGTATGTGCTCATGCGTGTTTAGGGGTCTGATTTCAGTAGTTAGATTTCAAGGCATTCTTGATCTTCTGCCTGTTTTTAATCTATTTTGTAGTATTTTAGGCGTTAACAATACCACTAGCTTATAGTGTAGGTATCAGCTGACTTTCAGGTTGGTTTTTTTTTTTTTATGATTACTTGTTTTATGACCAGTGGGTTAAAAATCACTATTGCATGGTATGCAGTTTTTCACATAGTTACATAACCCATCCAGGTTATTAGTTCTCTACATCTAAAAAAGTCTAAGTGGAAGAATGTTAGTTATATACCCATTTTTCTTGATTCCCTCCATCTTGAATGTTAAAATATGTGGGTCACTGGACTGTTTTGAACAATCAATTTCATGAAAGTTAATTTATTTTCTTAGGTGAAGAAGAATTTTCTTATGGGTATTCTCTTAAAGGAATAAAAACATGCAACTGTGAGACTGAAGATTATGGAGAGAAATTTGATGAAAATGATGTGATTACATGTTTTGCTGTAAGTCTGCTAAATTTCTGTGTTTAATTGAGAAGTTATTTAGCTAGGAATTCTTTTAAAGGTATATCAACATTAGCCTTCACTACTATTCGGACTCAGAACTACTTAACATGAAGGTGACCTGAAAATCTACTCCGTTTGCTAAGGCAGCATTGTTTTTGCTTCTAAATACATGTATTTCATTCTTTATAACTTTTCTTTAAAGATTTTATTTATTTATTTGACATAGATCACAAGTAGGCAGAGAGAAGGGGAAGCAGGCTCCCCACTGAGCAGAGAGCTGATGTGGGGCTTGGGGCTCTTTGGGGCTTGGGGGTCAATCCCAGGACCCTGAGACCATGACCTGAGCCAAAGGCAGAGGCTTAACCCACTGAGCACCCTGGGGCCCCACATCGTTTATAACTGTTAAAAAGCTCCTAACATTTAGCCTAAATATATTTTCCATAGGATAAGCTTCATTCTTCAAATTTTGAAGAATTTTTTAGAAAAAGTTTTTAAAGAAGCAGATTAAAACCATTAATTTTTTCCCTATTTAACAGAACTTTGAAAGTGATGAAGTAGAACTCTCCTATGCAAAGAATGGGCAAGATCTTGGCGTTGCCTTCAAAATCAGTAAGGAAATTCTTGCCGGAAGGCCACTTTTTCCACATGTTCTCTGCCACAACTGTGCAGTTGAATTTAATTTTGGTCAGAAGGAAAAGCCATATTTGCCGATACCGGAAGATTATACTTTTATCCAGAATGTCCCCTTGGAGGATCGAGTTAGAGGACCAAAGGGGCCTGAAGAGAAGAAAGATTGTGAGGTAAGTTGGATTTTTTTTTTCCCTTAAGCATTTGAAGATTATTTCTGTTCGGCAAAAATGACATTTGGAAGATCTGAATGATTGCTGTTTCATTCTGGCATGCCAGTTGCCATCAGCCAGTGATTTGTCTCTTAGTATAGCTGTGTTCTTTTATGTAGAGCATTGAGTTTCTAAAAATTGCCTTTGTTTTTAGGGCAATGAAAATTTATATATCTAAACTGGGTTCTTGTGCATTTAAAAAATATGTATAAGGGATTCTTAGATGGCTGTACTGATAAGTGAAATGCCATTTTTTTCTGCTGTAGGTTGTTATGATGATTGGCTTGCCAGGAGCTGGGAAAACCACATGGGTTACTAAACACGCAGCAGAAAACCCTGGTAAATACAACATTCTTGGAACAAACACCATAATGGATAAAATGATGGTAAGTAAAAATATTTAGGGTGTGATCTCAGCATTTTAAAAAGACCAGAAGGTATTCTAACTTTTTTGTCTGATGTTTTTATGCATTTTGTTAGTGTTTTAGAGGTAGGAATTTGTCAAGAGTTAAGATTGATTGAAGTAGAAAGACGTAAGTTACTTTTATGTGTAAGGTAAAGTGCCTCCCAGTGGCTAGGTTTTACTGGGTTTTTTTCCTATAAAATTTCTTGAACTGTCAACATTTAGTAGCTAAAAAAGAAGTGAACAGCAGAGGATCTTGTTACATGGTAAAGTGACCCTTTTCATAATGATGAGGAAAGGCAGTATTTAAATTAGCAAATGTCTGGTTTCCACATAGATCTAAGCTGATACTAGAAAAAATAAGCTTCATTCACAAGTTCAAAGGAACTTTTTAACTTGCAAAATAGGTGGCCGGGTTTAAGAAGCAGATGGCGGATACAGGAAAACTGAACACCCTGTTGCAGAGAGCTCCCCAGTGTCTTGGAAAGTTTATTGAGATTGCTGCCCGTAAGAAGCGAAATTTCATTCTGGATCAGGTAAGCAGTAGTTTTGAGGTTGAAAAAAGGAATGGATTGTTGGGTTTGGTGTGGAGCTAATCTCTGGCTTTATAAACTTTGCTTTCAAGACCAATGTGTCTGCTGCTGCCCAGAGGAGAAAAATGTGCCTGTTCGCAGGCTTCCAACGAAAAGCTGTTGTAGTTTGCCCGAAAGATGAAGACTACAAGCAGAGAACACAGAAGAAAGCAGAAGTCGAGGGAAAAGACCTACCAGAACACGCAGTCCTCAAAATGAAAGGTACGGAATTTGAACCTGTTATCGTGTTAATCTTGCGTGATTTGTGTTTGTAAATTTGAGTGAGGTCTCCTGCCAGCAATACTGTTTCACGAGTCACATGTTCGTTCCATGTAAGTGAACGTTTGGTTTATTCCTGTTTCTAGGAAAACAACGTTCGTAAACCAGGAGTAGACACGTAGTGTCTTGCAAAGAACAAAAGCCACTTGAGTTTGGGCTTCAGGGTTGTGGAGGTTTTAAGCTCATCTGACCTTATTCCTTGTAGGAAACTTTACGCTGCCCGAGGTGGCTGAGTGCTTTGATGAAATAACCTATGTTGAACTGCAGAAGGAGGAAGCCCAGAAACTTCTGGAGCAGTATAAGGAAGAAAGCAAAAAGGCTCTTCCGCCAGAAAAGAAACAAAACACTGGCTCGAAGAAGAGCAATAAAAATAAGAGCGGCAAGAACCAGTTCAACAGAGGCGGCGGCCACAGAGGCCGCGGCGGCTTCAACATGCGTGGTGGCAACTTCCGAGGAGGAGGCAAGTTCGCTGGGAGCGCGGGCCTTGTTCGCTTGGGGGCTGAAACAAGGAATGAGAATCTCGCAGTTTGGGGGGGTGTGGTTTAGTGGAGTTCGACCTCTGCCGTTGAACTCGGTTGGTCCGAGGAACTGGTTTAAAATCTTGTGACTTGATAAACAGGTAGGTTACGTGAGTGGTTAAATTAATGCCTTCAAAAGTGACTTTTCTCCTACGATAAAGGACTGGTCTGGAGGTTCCTGTAGTTAGTTCTGTGTGTAGAGGAGGCAGAACATGCTGTTAAACGAAACATCTCTCGTTTGTAGCTCCTGGGAACCGCGGTGGCTATAATAGGAGGGGCAACATGCCGCAGAGAGGCGGCGGCGGCGGCGGCAGTGGCGGGATTGGCTATCCGTACCCGCGTGGCCCTGTGTTTCCCAGCCGAGGCGGTTATTCCAACAGAGGGAACTACAACAGAGGTGGAATGCCCAACAGAGGGAACTACAACCAGGTAAGGATTTCAAGCTCTCCAGGCACTGATGGGCGGCAGGATCTAGTCTGGAAGGCTGTAGGTTTGCGTCACAAGCCTCAGTCAGAGTCGGAGGCCGCGCAGCCTGTGTGTCTGTCTGCAGTGGTGTTAGACTAGTGAAGGAGGATGAGGCCCGCTGAATTTTGATTTTCAGGTGAACTAGATTTGAGTCAGGTTGATGCCTTAGCTGAGTAAATTCTACACCCGAGAACAGCAGCAGAGGGTTCCCGGCGCTTCCTCATTGCCAGCAGCCGATCCTTTCTGTGCTGCTGCCTCCCCCAGGTACAGAACTAACAGGCTGTGCTTGTTCTTAAAGATGTCTTTTTCTCTCACCACCTCCCCCCGCCCCCTCCCCGCAGAACTTCAGAGGACGAGGAAACAATCGTGGCTACAAAAATCAATCTCAGGGCTACAACCAGTGGCAGCAGGGTGTAAGTAATCTCTTATGTGCTATGGACATTAATTGCACTTTAAGTTCATAAAGAGTCAGTCTTGAAAAACTTGTCCAGGGATTGGAGTGTTACAGGGCAAGGTGTGAATATAGGTGGAGTTCGCTGTAATTTAATGTTATAATAAAATATTCTTTAATACAGACGGTTCTTTTTATTGCTAGCTTTAATGGTATAAACTAACCAAGTCATGATGTGTTTCCTTTTGTAACGTGTTTATTGATAATAATGGGATATTAATACTAACTAAATCTGGTTTGGTAGAAGTCAGAGGTATATGACAGGTGTAAATTTGTTTCCAGCAGTTACTCTGAATTAGATTGTCATTTCCTAAAAGCAGTTTGAGTGGCTTATTGATGTTTTTTTCTTTAAAAAAAAAATTTTCTCTTACAGCAATTCTGGGGTCAGAAGCCATGGAGTCAGCATTATCACCAAGGATATTATTGAATACCCAAATAAAACGAACTGATACATATTTCTCCAAAACCTTCACAAGAAGTCGACTGTTTTCTTTAGTAGGCTAACTTTTTAAACATTCCACAAGAGGAAGTGCCTGCGGGTTCCTTTTTTAGAAGCTTTGTGGGTTGATTTTTTTTTCTTTTCTTTTTTGTACATTTTTAATTGCAGTTTTAAAGTGAATCGTAAGAGAACCTCAGCATTGTGCACGATAAGAGAATGTGTCAGTATTTCAGGGTTCTACATTTTATCTGTAAAATGTGACTTTTTTTTTTATCACAACAAAAGTAAAATGTTGCTTTGTACCTGGTGTCTTTTATTAAGAATTTACTCCCCCCATTTCTCACAGAGATAACAGTCGGGAGTCATTGTCACAATATAATAGAAATGTTAGCAACCAGATTCATGTAAGGACTAAGGCGTCCTCATGAATTGCATAAGACTCTGTACTGCTCATAGTACACTCCATCCTCTCTGTAGTTCGCTGAGTAGTGGAGGGGGAAAGCTTCAATAGTAGTTTCCGACAATAACTGGGAAGGCTTTTTTTCTTTTTTTAAATAACAATGGAATTGGCATAATTGGGAATGAAGATAAAAATTGGAACCAAGATAGAGAAGATGGAGTGTATGTAGAAGGGCTGTTAAAAATGTAAAACTTGGTTGCATTATTTGTGGAGGCTCAAACTTGTGAAGGTTCAATACCATACTTTTTCCATTTGTTCTGCATTTTGATTCTGAAAAGAAAGCTGGCTTTGCCCATTTCTTATTAAAAAAACTTGTTGTAAATCCAGTTGTCTAATGGGATCTATATGAAGTTAGCTATGTCTGTATGCCCTTCTCCCACAAAATACTGTATAACTAGTGTGCTTGTAGTAGTTACTCCACCATCTTTGTAAGCTAATGACATTGTGAGTCACCCATTTATATCTTAATTTTTAATCATGTCAGTTCTTGAATGGGTATCTCCTTAGCCTGCTGATTTCTTTTTCTTTCTAAAGAAAGTGGGTGGAGAAATTAATTTAGACGTTTGTTTGCAATAAAAAGAATTCATTTTACTCTCGTTTTGGGATTCTCGCCATCAAGGTTCAAAATCCCTTTATAAAACTCCCAAGAGGAGAAAATTTAAGTGTGTGCTTTCTGGACAGCTTATTCTTTACTCTGTACTTGGAACATTTAGGTTTTAAAAACTTAAATGTATACTGATAATTGACTTTGAATTATGAAGTAAAGTTGAATTCTTCCTTCCCCTCCCCCCCAGATGACTTAACATTTTAATGAGGGGAAATGGTGTACTGGCTGGGAGAAGTTAACACTCCATTTACCATCTTTACCAAATGCTAATGGCTGTCCTCAACCGAATATCTTATACGCACGTATCTAATACATGAAACTCTGGGAACCGATGCTTTTAGAAGCCATCATGCGAGCCAGTCATTGGTTTCACTACTACACAACACTGCTAACTTAACTGTAGCTATGTGACGACATTAGATCCCCTAATCGTAATTCTATTGGGTTTGCACAGAACACTTAATCTTCTTAAAGGACCCTCACTGATGTGAAGTGAGGAATCAATCAGGAGTCAAACTGTAGAACTAAAACTTGACTACAGTCTAGTGTTTTTTTGGTGTTTTAGGTTCTGGTAAGTTTAGGTTTGTCTATTTGTTTGCTTAAGATTTTTGTTTTAGCCATTTTAAATCAGATCTTAAACTTCTTCATAACTCCTAGGAATTTCGCTACAAGCCGAGCTGGAGTTGAGTTTTAGATGGTGGTGTAGGTGTAGTTGATAAATTTTGGAACAAAGGCTAATCCTGTAATTACCGCAAGGTACAAGGTAGTGTCTCGAGGGGTTTGTTTTCTTAGCAGTTAGCTTACTGGTAGCAACCGCTGGCATGAACTGTTTTGCAGTATACATAATAATTACTAGGATTGCACAGACCTACCCAGGGGAAAAAGTTCAACCTTTGTTGCTAATCAGTGTTTTAGGTACCTTGGAAGAATCGCGGATCTATCTTCTAGCTTGTAAGCAATTCATATTCTAATCATCTCAGTGGGAGAGTAATGGCCAAGTAACACTTCGGTAGACTGTCCTGCCTTGTGTAGCCCAGAAAATTGGGGGAAGAAAGGTGCAATAGATAACAGGTACTGTCCAAGAGAAGGAAAGTTTCCAGAAGCAGCCTCCAGTTTAGCATGTGTGCTGCCGAAGCGAGCATGCAGCCTCGAGTTCACAGTTGATACGTGTGGAAAGAAAGAATCTTCGTGTTTAAGAAACTCAGAAGCTCAGAGGGTAGCAGGTCGCAAGCAGCAGGGAGAAGAGTGAGGACTGCCGCTTGGCCAGCTGAAGGGCTGCCAGTGAGAAACGAGGTTTAGTCTTTGACCCTCCTCCTGCCTCCCTCTCTGTGGCAAGCAAAACACCGAGTAAACGAAAGGCATAGTTCTGAACAGGGGTCCCAACTCTCCCGTGAGATGGCTGTTGCTTTAAGTGGTGCTTTCCCTAGAAAGTTCTGCAGGGAGTTGGACCAATCATCCGAAGTCAGGTGTTGGATCAGATTGGTCAGCTACAGTCGTGTCAAGACAGCATGAATAGGTGAGTCAGGAAAGAAGGCAGAAAGCACTGCAAGGTAGAAATGGAGTAACTGATGCCGTCCCATAGAACGTTTCCATTGGTTGCTGGTTGTTTACATCTTGCTCACTCCTGTCTGGCCTTTGACGGCTCTGGCTTGGACCTAGGAGGCCAGCACTAACCTGGCCCTGATACCGGATACCCATCACAGGAAGATGAAATCTTAGAATGAAGCCCGAGTCAAGTCAGTCTGACATTGAAATGACAAAAGGAAGTCCTATAAAATCCACAAAACAAGCAGCTCACATTGGCCTAGGATAGGTCCTGTCTGGCAATAAGGACATTGAAACTAGAGGGTCCCGAGCACTAAAGAGGTGTTGAAGCTGCTTAAAAGACCCATTTTCCTCGAAAAAGTGCTTAAAATTTTTCTAGGAAAAGAAGTATTTTTGACTTTGGAGAGAGGTTACATTCATGGACGGATTATGTTCTGTATTTAATGTTTGCATCAGTTGTGTGAGTTGAACAACTTTTCTGTAAGGTTGACATAAATTGGCTTTTTATCCTAGGATCGTTTTATACGTCCCATTGCACAAATAAAAATGAAGTATTTTCATAGCTTCTTAAGCAGTGGTATAGACTTGTCACATACAAAGATCTGAAGATACAATTCAATGGGAGCATATCTGATACTTGAAAAAGCCGAAACCAGAAGCAGCTTCTGTTGAAGAAGGCATAATCCTATCTTTCATAGCCCAAGTCTTGGTTTCTGATATTTAGACGTAAATGTGGATCTTAAGAAGTTTATTTCCATAATTCCCGCCTTACATGTAACTATAAGACATCTTTAAAAAAAAAAAAAAGAGGGTGGAACCTGTAGGAGAGAATGATTCTCTGCTCCCACACCCCAGAATAGTCCGTGAAATACTGTAGAAATATTTGTAGAATTGCAAAATACTGTAGAAATACTGTAGAACGGTATTTTTTTTATAAAGCCATTTTCTCCTAAAGTTCTTTAAATGGTTTGAATCGAAACTTTGTCGTTCCCGTTTCTGAGGCTCTGAGAGAAACTCTGTTTCAGTTTTAGCGTTTTTAGTAAGGATATGTGGTGTTCTGACCTTGGCAGTAGGTTGCAGTTGTTAATACAAGCGTTAAAGGATACTAAGTTAGTACTTTGAGGAAGAATCACCTGCATTAGCTCCCAAAACAGTATGAATTTATTAGTGGAAACCGGTGTCTTCATATCGTTAGTGGCCTAAACTCACTTAAAACTAGAGTACCCTTCTGGTAACTTGGATAATTTTTAGATTTGAATGTCCTCCTTGGCCCTATTATGTTCAGCTTCTCCGCTAAAACATGCAGGTGGTAGGTCTCACCAGTTGAGTGGTTGAGTTTTTATTTTGGTTGCTCTAATGCCCATTTTTTGTTTTGTTTTGTTTTTAATACCTAGTTGCCAATGCTTACAGGTACCGTGTTAGACAAATACTAAACATCCTTTGTGTAGCTAACCTTTGTTTTACTAATCTTTACTAACCTTGATAATGAAATAAACCCTTCAGAATTATTTTGGAAGCGACCTAAAAGTGTGCTGATGGATACAGTATGTATCTCTTTGAGTGTGTGGGGTAGGACAAAGAGAAAACCCAGGGTCCGCAAGCATCTTAACATTCCAAAGTTTAAATTTACGTATACGTGAAATCAAATAGTTGAAATAACCTACCTTCATAGTTCATTTTTACTGTGTTTTGCTAAAAACATGGTACTTTATTTGATGGTCACACTTTGATTTGGGGGGTGGCTGGAGCCCCCAAAGTGAGAGGGCTTTAGGTTGGTGGGAAATGGCTAACAGTTTGCACTTACAGTAAGGCTATACTGTCCGACCTACCCAGTTGACTAAAAATCTAGGTGATTGGACATATTTAATTAGATTGCCTAAGGACCTAAATTTAGTCTGTAAGGCTGAGTAGATTGTAAAATACTATGTTTGTAACGTTAACCTAGACTTATTTTTAAAATGTGACACCTGCATGAATTGGGAGGTTACGTTGGGGATGTGCTGTCAGTATGGAAAGCGGAGGAAGGACAGGTATTTGGTAATGACGTAGGTAACTGGGGAATTTCGTTGTGATCGCAGATGAGTATTTGTGAGGGAACAGACAGGCTGCTAAGCCAGCACATCAGGAACCACTGGTTAGGTAGGTTATTGGGACAAGACCTTAACAATGTGCTTAAATTGGTATTTACTTGATCATTGCCTAGGAAGATGACAGTTGTTTTCTCCCTTCTCATGCCAGGATCCAACACATCCTTGCATCTTGACAGGAACAGGGTTTTGCTTTTAAACAAATCTGGATCTGTGGGTATGAGAAACAATATGCTGTAGTTGAAAGTGTCGAGGTAACAACCGTCCAGGCAGATAGAGAAAGGTCTTCACGGGAAAGTTGACTTTCTCCTTTGCTGCACCGTTAGTGACCGCGACGCGGCCCGTGCTGCTGTGGGGATTAGGGGCTGGAGAGCTCGCGGTCTGCCTTACGGACACGCAGCTTCCTGCCATTGCTCTTCCAGTCCGTGATCTCAGAGGAAGTCAGGTCTGCTTGGGACGGTAAAGTATTCTGCACTTGGCAAGCGCTTGAGAAGCATATTCACTAATGAGCATCAGCGAAAAGATTAAGAAACAAAAGCCAAGAACAGGGAGATGGCCAGTATGGTCCGCTGACCTGTGATGTAAAAGCTGTGAAGAATTAGGGCATGCTGAGAGAAGGTGAGGTAAAAGCCATCCTTCCGAAGAATGGTTGGGGTTTACTTGAACGGCAGGTAACAGGTAGCTGTGAACAGAAGGTCTCCTTACGTTTCAGTTGTCTGTAGTGAACGGGAGTGGGAGCATCATGGTCAAGTACAATAAAAGGTTCCAACTTAACATATATTTTTTTAAGGTAATAAAGCAAAAAAAGAAAAAAAAATGCTGATTTAAATTTCATCTCCTTTTCCTTAGTCTGTCCATGTGAATGTGCTGTGTGGAAGAGTAAAAGGGCCCAACTAAATGTGTTCCAGTGATTCTAATAGGTATTCCAAATTAATTGCTGCTTGTACATTTAACACTTGTTACATTGGGCTTCCAGGATCACCTTCATTAGAACTCCCTTATGTAAAAGGATGGGAAAAGGAAATAACTGTTAACCCAGATTGGGTAGATTGTATAAACGGGGGAAAAAAGGTTTTCTCACTTTACCCTTTGCACACCTGAGATGTGAGCTAGTCAGTGGTGGTAAGCAGTTGGCGGTCCTCTCACCTAGGTTTAAGACTGCAAATGGAGCCGAATCCTTGTAAGGTTCTAACCATTCAGATTCCTTCTGTTTTAATTTTTTGTAAGACATTCATTTTAATACTTCTCACTCGCAGAGCTTAAATACTTAAAATATTTTAATGCAGAAAAATGAGTCTAAGATGTCCCTTGTTTTTCCCAACCTTCTGCATCTATGCAAAACGCACAAATACTCTTTACTAGCTTATAAACATTTAGAAACTAGACAGAGCCTTTTGGAGAATGAGGACATAGCGCTCCATGTCAAAGTGGGAAAATCAACTATAGGAAGTAAATTTAAATTGTAAAGACAGAAGGAATAAAAAAGCTCGGTGTCTCCAGAGCAAATAATTTCTCATTGCCCAAGAAGTCATTTAAGACTTGCTAAGAAGCTTAGAGGAAATCTATTGTTCTTCCACCACATACTCCAGAATAATGTATCTTGGTGAAATGAGAGGACCCGTCTGCTATACTGATTTGAAATGTAGCTGTCAGGAGTTGCTCACTGAAACTCAGTTCTCCTGTGTCAACTAAAAATCTAATGGCTGAAAGAGCAGACAGCTCGGTTTCAGACCCAAAAGGTAAAAATCCTAACATTTTGTTCATTTGAGGGGGGAAAATTTTTTTTTTAACTAGAACATTTGTTTCAGAAGCTTTGAATTCAGATGGCAAAGCATAGAGTTCATTGCATATGACTTGTCCTCATGGTCTAAATGGAAGAAACATTTCAGTGGAAACCGATAACATTAAGAAACCAGGGTTGCAGATGACTTTGATTTCCTGAGGGGTAGACCATGCAAGGTGGTTGAACAGATTTTTGTTAACTTGATCTAAACTTAAAAAGGGAACAGTAGAAGCCTTTCTAAATCTCGAACCTGCTTATAATGTCACTGGTAATTTTGTCAAGATAGAAGGACGTGGTGGGCGGGGGCTTGGGGGGGTCATCTATATTCTAGAAAACGAAGAGTAAGGCAAATGTAGTTGAAAACCACTTGCAACACCTGTAGTGTTCGCGTTACAACAGCTTCAAAATGTAAAACTTTTAAGATCTTGGTAATAAGTTTTTGCCCCCAAAGCTTCCGATTTTAAGAGAAAAAGATGGACTTATTGCATAAAATCAGCTGCGTAAGATGCCAGGACTCGGGTGGTGGAGGATATTGGTATATTGTCCTGATTGAATGACCACTGGACCCTATTTTAAGATGCTTCCAAAAAATATTCCAGAGGACCATTAAAAATCAGAATTCGAGCAATCGCTTTAATTTTTCTACTTCAGATTTTCTGTTTACCCAAGTAAAGCACATATATTAACATGAATTTTAAAGGGGTGCCTTGACCCCCATCACTACAGATTTTTATCTAGGAATAGAAGGATTCAAACCCTATTTGATCCCTAGCTCTTTGCTGAAAAGTGCATAAACAGGAATCCTGAATTTATTATATAGACCTCCTCGCATTATATAATCGAAGCAAAGGGAAACCAGCGATGGAGTAGAGGTACGTAGACTAAAAAGATGCTTGCGAATCAAATAATGGTGTTAGGAATAGTTAAAATTTTTTGTTGCCGAACTCAGTCATTATAAATCACAAGTCCAGAGAAAAGCTTCTAGTTAATTTTAAATTCCCTGAGGTCCTTTTACTGTGATGGAAAAGCCAAATAGTCAAGGAAAAGAAGGGAGGGGTTGAGGGAAGGGGGAAATGCTTAGAGCACTAGAAAGATTTAACGAAGTATGATAGATAAAGCCGGGAAAAGTTTCTAAAACTACTAATGACCACAATTCTATTTTAATCAGCTATTTAGCTGGTATCTACTGCTATATCACCTAGTGTGAAGTTCTGGAGTTAACGGAACAATGAAAGAAGCAGTGCAGCTGGAGGCTTCCGAGTGGGCACGAGAGGTAGGTTGCTCGTCAGTCTGGGGCGTGGAAGGCGCGTTTGGATGAGAGGGGAGCCTGGACTGTGTCTCCGGGCGAGTGAATGTTTAGTGATATCCAGCAGAGACGTGTGGATGGTTTCACGCCAGACACAAAGGAGGGTTCTCCATGAGACACTATAGCTTTGCTTGGAGCCTAAGTGACCAGTGAAAGTGGTAGCTAGTAGGAGAGCCTAAATGAGGTGATTCTCCTTCCCAGAGGTTAGTGAGCAGAAGGGACTTGGAGAAGCTGCTGGAAGAAGGCGTTAAGTGGAATGGAAAAGTTGGAGCAGAGGCCGGGGGTCCCCAGCAGAGGGGGGGATGGGCACAGAGTTCACATAGTTTGAGCTTGGAGTTGGGTGGCAGAGGGCAAGTAGATAGGGCTGGAGACCAGAAGTGGGAGTGTGAGGTCTGTCTGGAGTCCTTGTCCGCGGTATTCAGTAGCGACGACATAGGGACCTGGAGTGCGTTGTGTAGCCCAGTAATCTGTTAGCGTATTTTGTAATCTCTTAATAGTTGAGGAACGAAATAGGTATTAATAACCATGTGTACTTACTAAGTGATTATTTTACAAGTTACCCAAGTAAGTGTGTCAACACTTTGTTTTATCCAGGTCTCCAGTTGACGCAGTCCTTCTGCTGTCAAAGTGAACTAACCTTGTTACTGGCGAAGGCCTTGGAAATTTTGCCGGCCAAGAGAGGTTTCTCTTACTCAGGGTAAGCTGTAACCCTCGTATGGGAGAGCTAGGTGGGGATTTAGTTGACTCCATCCGGTTGCCCAGTTCTATACTCTGCATGCGTTTGTAAGCGGAAGCGGAGATCGTAAGTGGCCTGCACAAACGTCGTTAAAGATCGGGGCTGAGGAGTACTCTTCAGGGGTCCCCGTACTCCCATACAGCACTGCCTCCTAAAATGGGAGTGACTGGTCAGTTGGAGTAATGCAGATTGGATTCAACTCTGACTTGTGCCCGTAGAGTGGACAGGTGGTACGGTCTTGGAAACTGCCTTTTCCTTTCTAACAACAGCCTTCCCTAATTAGTGTCCAAGTCCTACCTTTGGTGGCTGCTAGAGGATTAGGATCAGTACAAGTATCTGCGGGCTTGTGCTTGACCGTGGCATTTGGTAAACCGCATAGCCTGTGTGCGCTGCCCCTTGGAAGGACCCCAGGAAAAGTGGGCGCAGGAGGGAAGATGCCCCTTCCTGTGAACCGGACCGAGCACACACTGCCCACTTCCCCCCTTGAAAAGCGGTGAGAGAACAAGGTAAAAATCTCAGGATAGCTTCACCTTCTCTGGCTTACCATGATAACCAAGTAATAGGATCATTAACGATGCCAGAGTCCTTGTCTTTTGTCTGCTGGTCTTTTTCATTATCCTTTCTTAACCAGGAACACCTCTAGCATGTGTTTTGTGTTCTATTTAAAAGATTCTCTTAAAGTAATGTTGACATTAAAACAAATTGCATTGCTTTGGAGAGGGAGTTTTTTTTTCCTGAATGAATAAATGCTGTGGACCTGGTTGGGTGCCTTGTTTTTTGCCCTTTTTTAATAGCAGCGGATTGAATTCTAAATGACATATTAGTGTAATGATGTGTATGTGATCCTGTGGTGGTTTTGCATCAGACTAGTTCTGAAAATACTTCTGTGCGTGCCATGTGTCTATTTAAATTCCAAAACACTGCATACATCCAGAAACATTTAGAGCGTTTAAAAACTACCTGTATCTTTACTTTCGGGGAGATGACCTACCTGTTCTAAGAAATGGAAGAATAGGGTCAAGCAGTGAGTGTTCATTTTTAAAAATAGCAATTTGCAAAGTCAAAAAAAACCCAGTAGTGTTCTTACAGAGGTACTGACTTTAGAAACTGGGAAGTACTGCCTCATTTTTAACAAGGTGCAGTAGTACAGTGATTTGTTTCTAAGAGGAGTTTGGAAATCCAGCAGGAGAGTCTTGTTTATACTCTGGTGTCTGCACCAAGTTCGGCAAGTCCAAAAGATGCTTTCCTGGCAGTAGAGTGAGGACCAGAGCAAGTGTGTGGGCCTTCCTACAAGTGTTTAAAAAAAAAAAAAAAGAAAACTACAACACACACATCTTTTATTTTATGTACTGAAAGTCTGGTGGGACACGCACACACAAGGGTGATCGGCTGCCCTCCATGTGATTCGCACCGACCCCTGCAGCCACCGTCGGGTTTTCAGTGCTTGAGACCCTGCTCAGCTGCCGCTCTTGCTTTGTTTTCTTTCAGGATCAAGGTGGGTACTTTCGTAGAGAATCTGATTTTTAATTCCATCTCTGGCAATTCTTTCCTGGATTCTTAGCTTTGCGTAATTATACCTACAATGGAACCTTACAAGAAAACACAACTGAGTCATCTTTAACAGAAAAGTTCCTCTAGAAACCATTTTGAGATTTGTAGTAACAAAATCTAAGATTACAGATGGTTAACCCAAGACTGTATTAATACAATCGTTCTAATTTGGAGGGCTGTTCTGGAGTGGTTCAGTGTCATTAACAAATCATTAAGATAGGTTTTACCTAAAGTGAGGCTTCTGACCCCATCCAGCTTAGTTTTTCTGGTAGAATCTCCTCCAGTTGGAACCATATATATATACTACGTACTCCTGGCCCTGGCTTTTTTTGCTCAGAACACAGGAAATTCATGCACGTGTTCATCAGGTGTGAGCACATTCTTAAAGGAGGCTTTACAGATGTCATGTCATGAGCGGGAAATGAGAGCATCCGGGGGACCTGAAAGGTTGAGGCCTTCCCAGATTAGAAATTGTAACTTGGTATTGGTGGAAGGTCACGCATTCGTCTGCTCATTTGACAAATGGTACAATGTGTCTGCATATACATACTTGAAAGAGGCATCCCAGCAGTACCATTTTGTAAGGCAAATTTCCATTAAATTAAAAAAAAAAAACATTCCTCGCTGAGGGGGTGGGAGTCTTCCAGTGACAGATTGCTTGGAAAGAGCATGTGCTTGAAATAGATCAATCATGATCCTGGATCTTCTTGAATTACTTGGTACACATACCAGCATCCTAAAGTCACCAAGATAAATCCTCCTACTCCAACATCACATGATCTTCTAATCCTACCTGTCAAAAACCATAACCACCGTAATTAAATTCGACATTAGTCCATTTAGAAAATGTTCATCATACATTAAGAAAAAGATACTCACTAGTTAATAAAAAATGTCCAAGGCCAGCCACAACAGATCCTAATGAACCATACAATACCGAGTCCCGAGCACAGGGAATGTTCTCAACATCTAAAATTCCTAGGAGCTTAAAGGGCTAGGATAAAACAGAAGAGAACCTGGATTGAACAAGTAAATATTTCACTGGTTTGGCAAAGATCACAGTATGTGCTAGGTGATAACCATGAATCTTGGTTTACCATCATTGGTCATCAGGCTTTTGGCCTACAATCTGAATTTTAAGTGGGAAATGTTGAGAACCTGACCAGAAAACCCCATAACAGCAGGGCAGCTTAAACCTAAACCAATTAAATTTGGTGTTAATATTACAAAATTTACTAATTGGTCTGGGGGGTAACAGCATATGCTATTTTATGAGGTCTTTAAACATCTATGAAATGATCTGGGAATCTGGCCATCCCTGGAATGAGCACCATAGTTCTTCCAGTTTGGGGGACACAAAATGGGGAAAGTAGGAATATTCTAACCAGGTTTGCTGATAATAGTAAAGTTAGTAAAGTTTTAAATTCAAGAACTTCACATTTTATTGGTATTAAAAATGTGTGCAGTAGCTCTCCTCTTGTTTCCTTAACTGTGGTGAGAAACTGCACTTGACTGTATTTGAGTCTTTGTTGGTAGACGTGGCAACTACACTTAGGGGAGGGTAGATGTGATGGGAAAAGCTAGAAATCCACAGTTGGGTTTTGTCTCTGCTCTGCCACTAACTGGATCACCTGTAGGATACATGTATTTTTTTAATCTCCGTGGCACACTCTTCTGTAATGAAAGGCATTGGGCTACATGATAAATTCCTTCAAGTGCTAAAATGAATGATTCTAACATTGTTTCTCCGCAGTTTTCATGGGATTTATGGACTTGATTTTCCTGATTAAAAAAAGAAGATACCGCCAGCTTAACCTTCACATGTTTTAATGTGAATGTCAAATGGTACTCTATTTGAGGGCTCTGGGAGGGAAGGACACACTTTTTAAGTCACATTTGTTTCATTGTGGCATTCCCATTAGTAAGGACTTAGAAGACTTAATGAGACTTCCCTAAAACTTGATTTCGTATGAAGCAGGATTTTATGCTAAAACGGGAGGATTGTGTAGGGTGAGGGGATGCCTAGAAAGTAACGGAAAGGGAAAGGAGCCAGAAAAGGCAAGTCCAGTTACAGGCTGAATTACGAAGGATGTTCGACTGTATATTCTCTGGCTGCTTTGGCTCAATCTGCTGCCAGAAAAGACCAAGTGTGATTTGGCTCATAATAAAGCAAAAACTACATATTTTCTTGATTATTCCTTTTTTTTTTTTTTAAAAACTTTTGTCTGTCTCTGTCCCTTCCTCTCCAAACCCCACCCTGACACACAGCCCTAACGTCATTTGGTGGACACAGCAGGTGCTCAGTGTTGCAGGCTTTGACTGTAAAAAGCTCTTCAATGTAAACCTTAGAGGCTGGGGGATTTAATTCTGCTGCTAGGGTATTTTGCTTTATTTAGGAAAAAAAAACCGATAAGTTCGAAAGCCAAGTGGAATACAGTCCTGGCAGGCGGGATGGTCGTGAGCCACTCTGCAGACAGTCGGGCTCCACATTCCAGGCCAGGGCTAACGCCCGCACCTTCAGAGGAGCTTGCTTTCCTAGAGGAAGGCCAAGGTGGTGATTAGTGCCCGCTTTAGGTCTTAGAAGCTAGTAGACCACCACCACCTTCCACCACAGGGGTTGGGGGGGTGGTCCTGAGAAGAAAAGGAACTATCGGGCAGGCCGCTGCAAACACCACACCATAGCTGTTTTGTGTGGCTTCCCTTACATGGCAGAACCCTAGCGTGACCCCAGGGTACCCCCGAATCTGCAGACAAAACATTTGTGGGGCACTTGGACAACATGCTCTTAACCCCAGTTCTTCACAAAGTATAAGTATGCTTGCCAAATACCGAGAGTGCTGCTCAAGTCAGCTAGGACGGCATCTTTCTCAGTCTCGAGGTTTTCATTATCCCTGCCCCCCCTCAGATGCTGACTCTGGTCTGGGATGGGCCACGGTGATCTGAGTTTGAAAGACGTAAGGATTTTTGTTTTTTCTTTCTCCCCCGTGAACCTATCAGATTGAGGAAACCGCTTTTAGATACTACTTAGAAAAATAGTTTTGGGTGCCTGGGTGGCTCAGTTGGCTAAGGCTCGCTATTTTCTGGCTTGGGTCATCCTCTCAGGGTTGTGCGATGGAGCCCTGCATCAGGGTCTGTGCTCAGCGTGGAGTCTGCTTGCGCCCCCCCCCCCCCGGCTCTCTCAAAATCTTTAAAGTGCTTTTAAAAGGTGTTCAAAAATAATCGTAGTTTGGCGTGTCTGGGTGGCACAATGTGAAAAGCGTCTCTTTTTGAGTTCAGGTCATGATCTCAGGGTTCCCAGCTGGAGCCCCGCGTCTGGCTCTTTGCTCAAGGCCAACTGCTAGAGATTCTCCCTCTGCCCCCTTCCCCCTGTGCGCCCTCTAAAATGAATACATCTTTTTAAAAAAATCTGCTTATTTAAAAAGATGCCTTAACAGAAATTACATCTGCTTTTTAAAATGGAACCTTTTAAAGCCCAACATGTGGCTCCAGGCCAAGGGTGCTGCCGCCAGACCCTCTCAGCATTGATCAGCCCCACGCCCAGCAAAACTGGGCTTGCGTTAGCAAGGCAGAAGCTGGGAAACCAGCGCTGATCTGATAAATGCCCTGATTTGGAGGTGGCGTGGTGGTGGTGGGGGGTGCTCCTGCCAGGCCCGTTACATTCCTTGTTCTCAACCTCTCATGTGGCCAGATCTCCAAAACCTGTTCTTTAATTGTCACTTAACCATTTGGTCATAAATGAAAAAACGAGGCTCAGGGAGACGTTTTCCAAAGGTTACACGTCTTGTGGCGGGAGGGGGTGGACAGGACTAAGTACATAACCGTTTCTCTGCAATTTGTATCAAAACTGGGTAGGAACGCAGGCTGACTTAAGAGCATAATCTTCTCTTCACTAGTAGAAAATTCTCGGCCTCCTGGTAAAGTTGGAGTTTAGACTACAGATTACTTAAAAGCAAATACAGGAAAATTAAGCACATACAATGTTTTTAGAAAGTACACTGAACTATAAGTCTCAAATTAATAGAGGGTTCAAGCCATAAATCCCTTTTAAGTAGTTCTATTTATGATGTACGTGTTTCACATTTTTTTTCCCTGCGTAGTCTGCAGTCTTAAGGTTTAACTTCTGCTGTTAACAAACTTAAGCCTTCAACTAATGAAAGTTTAAACTCATAGGCTAAAAAAAAATTTTTTTTTTTCCGGTAAACGACACCCAGCATGGGGCTCAAACTCACGACCCCAAAATCAAGAGTCCAGCCCTCTGCCAACTGAGTCAGCCAGGCATCCTGTGAAGTTTTTAAGCTTAGATTTAGAAAGGCAGATCTTCCAGCTCACCTTGATGGAACTGAAAGATGCTTAAAAGATTTCTAAGCTGGAACATCAATTTAATAATTTAAGGAAATATACTGAATTAGAGCCAGCCCATTTCCCACTGCCAAACATCTCTGCATCAGTGTACAGAGTCCTTCCTCTTGCTGCATAGGGTGAACTGGATCTCTCTCTTTTTAAAAGATTTTACTTGAAATGGAGGGCGAGTGGGGGTGGGGGGGAGGGAGAAGCAGACACTCTTCTGAGCAGAGAGCCGGAGGCAGGGTTCCATCCCAGGACCCTGGGATCATGACCCGAGTGGAAGGCAGACACTTAACGACTGAGCCCCCCCCAGGCGCCCCACTCTTCTATGTAAACCTGGTCCTAACTGCAGTTGATTGCACTGCAGAAGTTGCTTCTAGTCACCCTGTCCTCATCTGCACCATTATTTTTCCTCTCCAGTATAAACAAAAAACTCTCTTGACGCTCCTTCCCTCCATAAGCCTCCTAAGCTACTATCCCATTTCTCTGCTCCCTTTCACTGCAAAACTCGTTAACCTACGTGTTAGAAACCTGTTTAAGTCCCTTCAAAGAGCATTTATCCCTCCACTGCACCGCAGCAGCTTGGTCCAGATCAACACATGGCACAGATAATCATTTGTTTTTGAAACATTTTCTTGGCTTCAAAGAGGACGAGGCTTCCTGGGTTTCCACCTCACTGGCCATTCCTAGCAGTTTGGCTTCTGTTCCCTCCTCTGATGACCTTTCAGTCTGAAGAGCTGCCCTGGCCCGCTCAGAAATGCAGGCTTTCAGTTACATGCCATTTACACGACGATGCCTGCCAATTTGGTAAATCACATCTAACCTCTCCCAAGTGTTTTGTCTTCTAATTCATTGGTCTAGCGACACCTTTTGTATGTCAAAGAAGCGCCTTGAACTTAGGATTTCCAATTAGAATTATTTTTCAGGCATCACTACTCACCGAATTTGCATACCAAAACCCTAGGAGTCATCCTTGATTTCTTCCATCAAACCCATGTTCAGTGCTCCAGCAAGTCTGGGATATACCAGAACCGAATACAGCTGGAACTGAACCACTTCTCACCTCTGCTGCCGCTACTCCCAGACTACCATGGTCTCTCACAGTATCTTAAAAGGTCTCGATTCCACTCAGATGGCTGGATCATGGTCCTCTGAAAACCCTCCATGCCTTACAACTGCTGGAAGGCCCTGCCGGACCTGACACCCACCCTCCTTGACCTAGCACCCATCCTCCTTTCTCGTATCCCTCTTTATCTTGTCTTCTAGTCCTCGTACACTGGCGCTCCTCTGACAAAACGAGACCTAGCACGTGTTGCCTTTCTCCAGGATCTCAGCATGGTTGGCTCAGTAAATGAAATTGTGATTTCCTGTTTGATTCCTGCAGTAGAATGTGAGTTCCACAAGGAACATTTCGCCTGTTTTGATCAAGGCTGTATCTTTAGCTCCTAGTTTAGTGCCTGATACTCAGTAGATACATAAACCACTTTTTTCAGTGGGTTTATTAATAAATTTAAAATTTACCTACAGCACCTTCCTGGTAGGCATGTACCAAATTTCGTATTTTAAAGTTTCCTGGAGAGTAAAGAATGGGAGCAGAGTTTTTGAGGGTTAGTTCTGTCAGTTTGATAACTGCAGGCTTCCTTCTCTGACATTACCTTGGGCTACTAATTCAGTCCTAGCTTATGATATATAAATTTTATAATCTCCTTAGTGAGCTTTGATACTAGTATTTCATGAGCAATTTATAAGTCTTTGGTTGTTTTTTTCTTTAACCTCACCAGACAAATCTGGTCAGTGCCCAGTTTTAGGGCTTGTACCTATCCATTTCACCAACCACAGTATTTTGTTTTACTAATGATGAACCAATTAGGTCATTATTATTATACTTTCCATTTTTTTGACTTTTAATGGCTAAACCATACTTCTGATCCTTAAATGATGGCAGTTATCTCCTATCAAAGGCGATAACCAGACACAAGAGGGATAAAAGCCCCGTTTATATAGTTATGGTGCCTCTTGAAATAAGCCACTTTTAAGTAAGGACACACTTGGTTACATTAAGCATATTCCAAGTAATATTTGAGGCATGAAAAACAAAAGATACCAATAGCGTCAAAACCGACACACTGTTTTGATTTTGAATCTGGAAATTATCCAGTATTTGTTCATATTAACCATTTGATCTTGGTGAAATTTAAATGTTAAAGTCCCCAGAAAAGCAGTAACTTTGAATAAATAGCAAAATTTTCAAGCTGGAGAGCGCATATTCTGTAATTGTAGATTAGGTGCATTCTGGCACATAGCGGGTCTTGAGTCAATACTTGTGCATCCCTGATCCACTGTTAACATCTTTATAAGCTTACCACTGGAAAACGGCTTTTTTCCTATTTTCTGAACATCTACTATCTGTTCAGCACTGAGGTGGTAAATTGGGTTCCCTTAAGGAGCCCAAGGAGCAGATGACAGAAATCGGGGACTTGCTGGAATGATGCAGCCAAGTAAGGCGCCAGGGAGCTGGGTGGGGGTGGAACAGTCGCATTTCAGTCTACGCTGGGGAGTCAGGAGCGCCCCCCGCTCCCGGAGAACGCGCCCTCCCTTCGCGGCCCACCGTCTCCAAAGCCTCTGGAAAGTAGACGAGCCGGACACAGGCTGACAAGGGCTTGGTCAAGGGCTTGAGCCGGACACAGGCTGACAAGGGCTTGGTCAAGGGCTTTACGGTCCAGGCCAAGGAACTCGGGTTTTATCCCGGGAGCCACGGGCTGTGGCGACTGGATCTTACGCAGAGAGGTGGAATGGTGCGGTTTACAGGTCAGCGCACTGAAAGGGAAACCCCTCCGCTTGACATCCGCTCCTCCCGCTCAGGATCTAACCCAGGTTTTCACTGCTCGACAGCACTTCTGGGTCCCTCCGTGTTAAGTACACCGCATCAGCCTGTCCTCCGGGAGCTCGGAAACCACGCTCCCCCGGCGCCAGCCCCTTCCAGCGCACAGCTCTCCCGCCCGGGGCTTCATTCCCCCCCTTCCCCCAGGCCCGGCGAGGGAGCTAAAGCGTGCCGGGGTGGGGACGGAAACTGTCTGGAGCCCGCGACGCCGGAGAAGCCAGGCACGGGGCCCGGCTCGGGGTCTGCAGCCCGCCCCCCGCCCCCCGCCCCCCGCCCGAGCGCCCCGCGCGCTTCGCGCGCCCCACCGCCCCGTTACCTTCCCTTTGGCGGGCTCGCCGGGGTCTGACGCGGCGGCCATGGGCTCCGGTGGGTGCCTGCGGCCCCGCCCCGCCCGCGCCGCGAGCGGAAGCCCCGCCAGCCCCGCCCCCGCGCGCCGGCCGCCATTTTAGGGAACGTTTCTGCGTCTCTGCAGTGGCCGCGCCGGGCAGGCTCCTGGCCTGTGGGGCCATCTCCTTTGTTCAAACTAACGGGTGACGGCTTCTCCCTAGCGGGCCCTCCGTAGCCCGGGAAGCCGGAGCCGAGAGAGGAGAACAACGCGTGAAACACCCCTGCACCAGGATCCTCGGCGGGGCGGGGGCGAAACAGCGCCCTGGAGCCTCGAGCCTGTGCTGCTTCCCGCCCCAACCCCCTCCTTCCGCCCCAACCGCCATTTCTACCCGTCGGCCGCGGGCTCGCGCCCGCGTCCCTGGACGCCGGGCGCGCGCGCGGGGCGGGGCCGGACCGGGGCCGCGGCAGGGGCGGGGGAGCGGGCGCGCCGCCGCCGCTTTGTCCTGCGCGCGGGCCCTGCGGCGGGGTCGGCAGCCCAGCCCGCCCCCAGCCCTGGCCCACCGGCCCGGAAGTTGCCCTCCGCTCGCTCGCGGCCCGCGTCCCCTGCGTGTCCTTTGTCCTTCCGGCCCCAGGCCGAGCCGTGGGTACCCCCGGCGGCTCCCCAGCGCCGGCAGTTGTGTAGCCCCGAGCGCCTGTCCCTTGCACTTCAAGGTCCCGCGCCCGCCCGCCGCCTCCCCTTTTCGCTCCATGACTTAGCGGCTTTAAAATAGCGCCGCCCCGCTCGCCCGAAGGAGACTGGGGACAAAATGGAGGGCGCGCTCGGGGGCGGACGTGCGTCAAGGCGTCCGGGCCCCAGCGCGGGGCTAGAAGGCCCTTGCGGACGGGGGCTCCGGGGCGGAAGAGGCCGGGAGGCGGCTCTGTCCGCGCCCTGGTGAGGGCCCGGCGGTGGGCGCACGCCTCCCGTCCTCTGCACCTTGTGTCGCGCGGCCCGCCTTTGTGCCCTTCCCGGGGCGCGTCCGGGCACGCGTCTACGCGGCAAGCGCGCCAGCCATGTGGCAGTGCCGGTCGCCCCGTTTCGGCTCGCCACCTCGCCTTCGCCTGACACCTTTCTGCGGTCCGGGTGCGCTACGCGGTGGACGACTGGTCCGCGCGAGTGGCTGACGGTCCGCCGAGGGCGGGAGGAGCTCCGGGGAGCTCGGACAGTTCTGCAGAGTGTTGCGCACCCCTGCGCTCCTGCTCTGGGGGTTCTCCCGGGACTGCCGGGCTAAGGTGCTTTGAGCTCTTGGTCTGGAAGGTTCCACTCCGTAGAGGAGAGAGGAGTTCTTTTGAAGCAATTCCTAATTACCTCGTAAAGGAAGGAGAACTGGAAAAGTACCAGGTGAAACACCTAGAGCATCCTGTTGTATTTCTTACGGTGGCTTCGAAGATTGTAAACCTCTGTTTGTGAGAACTGTAAACTCCTTCTTCAAAAAGTATTTTTATATATGTTTTTTATATTAAAAGTTTTATTTTCACAGAAATTGCCTGCATGTTTGTTTTTCACAGTTTACAGAGTGGGGAAGTAAAAAACGTCTTCCACTCCCACCCTACCCTCCTCCCCTAAGGTAAACTCACCAGTTTTGGTGTGTCTGTTTCCAAAATATTCCTTTTTCTCCTTTTTTTTTTTTTTTCTTTACTAAAACAACGCTGGGATTTAGGATACAAAGCGGAAGTCTCTCCATGCCACACGTGCCCCTCTTCGTGCGGCTCCCTGTGTATGTATCTTTGCATTCAATACTTTTTACCATTGAACTCTATGTTGGCAATTTTTTTCATGCAAGTAGGTATAGATTTTCTCATTCATTGTAAAGGCCGTTCATCAGTTCTTCATCAAACCTCATCTTCCTTCTGATTGACATATAGAAAACACTAATCCCCCCCCCCCCAAAATAGAAAAAAGAAAAACTTCAGGAGCCTTTTTATGCTTGTATCTGTGTGCACCTGTTCGAATATTTCTGTAGGGTGGATTTCTGGAAGTGGCCTGATCGGAAGAGGGATGCACATTAAAAAATTGAATATGTACTGCTAAATGGTCCTCCAAAAATACTGCCAATTTACATTCCCAGTGACAATGTATGAGAGTGCCTGTTTCCTCAAACTTTTTAACACCGCATGTTTGGTTTTAAAATTTCTGCAGATCTGATGGGTGAAAAGTCGGGTCTTACTGCCTTAAACTTTCCTGATTACTACTGTGGGTGAGCACTCTTTCAAATGTTGATTGGTAATTCTTTTTCCAAGAATTTGTGTAACAGTTTTGTGCGTTAAAATTTTTGGTTGTGTATGTGATTTCCTTATTAGTTGATAGCAGCTCTTTATGGTTTTGGCTTTTAACTCATGAGTTATTTCTATTCACTTACTGTTAATTTAGTTTATGGAGACTTAAACTTTTCTTTGAATAATGGAGTCTAGGGGTGCCTGGGTGGCTCAGTGGGTTAAAGCCTCTGCCTTTGGCTCAGGTCATGATTGGGATCTAGCCCCGCATAGGAGCCTGCTTCCTCCTCTCTCTGCCTGCCTCTGCCTACTTGTGATCTCTGTCAAATAAATAAATGAAAAAAAATCTTAAAAAATAATAAAAAATGGAGTCTAACCAATTTTTTATGACTTTACATCTTGTGTCTTGCTTGTAAGCCTTGACTCCCATAATTTATTTACTTATTTAAATATTATTATTATTTAAATGTTTTATTTATTTGACAGACACAGCGAGAGAGTGAACGTAAGCAGGGGAGTGAGAGAGAGAAGCAGGCTTTCTGCTGAGTAGGGAGCCCAATGCAGGGCTTGATCCCAGGACCTTGGGATCATGACCCCAGCCGAAGGCATCCCAGTGATTAAGCCACACAGGCATGCCCTGACTCCCATAATTTAAAAATGCTCTCATAATTTTGAAAATGATCCTCATATGCTCCCTTTCTCATTAATAATTTTAATCGCTTACGTCTTATTTCTTAAAAGATCAACTTTTGGCATTATTGACCAAGGTTTTTATTTTATCTTTTTTCTAGCTTTTAGAATTGACTCCTTAGTTCATTTATTCTCCATCTCCTTAACCAAGAAAGATGTTATAAAATTTCCCCTGAGAATCATTTTATCCCATGTTATCTCATAGATTTTGACAGGCAATGTTCCTATTAACCTTTTTTTCTTAAAATTTTAATAGTTTCAGCTTTTCTTCCTGAGTAAGTGTGGCTATGGTTTTGGAATTAATTTTTAGTTTTTTGGTTTTGTTTTACACTGTGGCATTTTTATTTCTACTTTTTGCAATTTATTGATTTGTGTATGTTACCTAGCAGATCATTTTGTACGTGTTCCATAGGTAAATTTGAAAACAGTGTGCCCGCATCGGGCTCTCTGCTCAGTGGGGAGCCTGCTTCCCCCTCTCTCTGCCTGCCTCTGTCTACTTATGATCTCTGTCAAATAAATAAATAAAATCTTAAAAAAAAACCAAAAACTGTGTGTTCTCGGTATTAGCATTAAGTTAAGGTTATTATAATAGCATAATGGATGTAAATATATGGATATAGAAACTATTAATAGTATAAAATTAAACTTATTATCATTCAACCATCTTTTTATATGGTAAGGGTTTTTGCTTTGCCAGCAACAGACTCGGACTCTAATCAGCTTAAACAAGAAATGTACTGGGAAGATGTCAAGAAATTTACCGAACTGATAAAAAGTTGAAAAGCCAGCTCTAGGAAAGGACAGCATCTGGGACAGCTATGGGGGTCCCAGAAGCAAGAAGTAAAGAGTAAAGTGATTCTTCAGGATAAGAGTGACAGCAAGGAATCATCGTGATACAAGGAACCAAGATGCTGGACCTGTTCAGCCTTCCTCCCGCCATGGGGCTTCCTTCATCAACGGCGCTGTTGTGAGACTTCTGGTTTGTTTGGCCATGGACATGGACGTAGGACCCTGAATGAGGTGGTGCTTCAGTATAGTGGGTGGAGTGAGCCCGGAAAAACTCCTCTCCCTGTTCCTTCCCTCATGGTGGCTATAAACCCTTTGGCTCACTGCCCAGAGTCTGTGCTTTCATTTTCTCAGCTGGGAGAGAGCATCGGCTCTCAGTAACCCCATCCTGGAGAGCTACGGTCGGTGGTCTGCAGCACGATGGTGGGAGGGAAAGGGGAATATCATTTCAGGGGTTTGGCAGGGCTGTACGGGCAAAACTCACCTTTCGAAGTTCTCTCTCAGGCTGTTGGGTTATTTTTAAACTGGGTGTGTTGGGTTTAATAATCAATCTGATTGCAGTTCCTCTGTGTCATCAGGAAATTCCTATAGTCCTGGTCTGCTGCTTGTGCATCCTCCTATCTTTCCAGAAAAGGTACCGCGTTATCTTTCTATTCCTTTCATCATTTCAAAAGGTTTCAGAGAAAGGAGTGGTAAAAAGTTGTTCTGTCAGACCTCTATAATGTTCATAGCCGAGCCATGTAGAGTACTAGGATTCTATTTCTTTTCTTGTGAAACTTTTTTTTTAGAGTTAATAATTGCTTTATTTGTTTAATTTTGTTAGAGCTAGGTCTTACTGGCTCTTTTCTGCATAAGAAATCTGAATTTCATCATATAATACTTGGTTCTTGGAACAGATGAATATTAGGTGCTCATTTCGTTTTCGTAATGACTCTTGAGAGCTGGTAGTGAGCATCTCTTGTCAACTGTTCAATGACTTTATGTTGGTAGCTTAAAATCAGCTATAATGGAAGTATTTATGCCATGGAAATCAACAAATGCTACAAATCAGGGCTTTTTTCTTTCTTTTTTTCCCTTCAGAGTGGTTTACTGATACACCACTGCATACACCCATCACTAACTTTTCTCTCAGGCTTCTGCAGAGTGATAAAATTCCTACAGTGTATCAAACGCAGTGTATAATTGGCCTGTCAGTTTTTTGTTTGGTTTGGTTTGGTTTGGTTTGGTTTGTTTTTGGAAGACATCTGTCCTGGAGCTTTCCTCTTTGTGACCCAGTTCAGAATGGTTTCGTTCTCTGACTGATTCCCAGCCATGATCCTGGAGACTCTCATCACCTCTTCCCTATGATCTCCTGCCTCC